TATTTACAACTCTCGTTAACTCAAAATGACAACTGTAAACCACCAGGATCTGATTACAAACGATGCTTAATAAAGATCTGTATTCATTCTTATCCCGAATAACGCGCAACTAGAAATATCCCCAATACCAGAAAACACACTACCACATCAAGCGTAAGTTAAGAACTGACTGTGCTTATTTTTATCATCTGACATTTTGAAAACCAAAAAGTAAAAATTAAAGTAAATCTTTCATTTGAATCGTTGTTTGTTATTTTACACACTATGTAACTCCAACTTGTGTTTCATTTATGAACGAAGTTATAGAATACATCTTAAACACGATTTTTAAAGCGTTTGAGCAAATACTTTTACTTGAAGAAAGGCGTGAATTATTAAGAGTATAAATTAAAACACTCCTGATGCTGTTCAATTACGTTAGAATACAATTACTGATTTATCTCCTTACTAAACTTAACAGTAGTTTAACTTACCAAAAGTAAAACGAACTCGGAAATTTTGAAAACATTTTCCCCTGCCATGACATTTCTTGGCGAATTCGTTCTATGAAACATCCGAGCCTCAAAACATTGACTAAGCCTATACTATTACACGCCGGTATAGAGACACAGCAGTTGTCAGGGGAAGATCTACACTTGTGTACTGATGGTATGTGATGACGATGGATCTCTTTTCACTGCAGTGCACCACAGCGGTGAATGAGGTAAGCTTCCCTGCAGCCGATAGTATATTTGCCTTTCAATGATCAACTTCTTACGCAGATGACGGAAGGATGAAACATTGAAAGATTTGTCAAACGTAACATGACAAGAATTGTTTAGCTTTTGGACTTTTAAACTTAATTATTATAAATCATATTATTAAAGCACAAGATCCGTGTCATTGTACATCTCAAAACATTAATTCTTCCCTGTCAAAATTCCGTATCAGTAAAAAATTCCAACTGTTGAGATTACATCCTGTAATATTAAAAAAAAACTGCTTATACAGGATTTAAAATACTAAGTATTATAAATTACAAATTATTTATGTGCATTCTCCAATCTGCGGGTTCGAATCCTAACACCGAATATCTTCCCCCTTTCAGCCGTGGGGCGTTATAAGTTACGGTCAATCCCACTTTTCGTAGGTAAAGAGTATTCGAAGAATTAGTGGTGGGTAGTGTTGACTAGTTGCCTTACCTCTAATCTATCACTTCTAAATAAGGAACGGCTAGCGCAGATGGCCCTCGAGTGAAATTATACAAAACAAACAACGGGTAATTTCGGAAACTATATTTCAAAAATATCATAGATTAATAAGAAACATATTAACAAGATGCGCGATACAATGCATATTTTCTTATTATTCTACATCATCGCTTTATCTCTTGAAATGCGAGGTCAGGACTAACGCTATAAATAGACTACTGAGAAATTTAAATGAACTGGAAAATAAATCATTAGTTGTTGTATTCCATGGACTTTTCAGAGAATAAGAATACTTTTGTATACATTATTCATTGTTATCTTTCTTTTTATTATTAGTCTTTTGCAATTACAAGTGCTACAGTTGACTGATCAGTTGAGTCAAGGGCAGCTAGTTGTTTTAAGAACAAACCAGTTTTCACAGTGTTAACACCGTCTCAGTAACGTTTATAGCTACTATATACGTTATTAGATTGCGTACACGTCACTGAATTGTGATAACTTTTAACACAGTTTGTATATAATATAATTGCAAGTAGTTATTAATAACTTTCAAACAAGGATGGATAAAACATTTAAATGATACGAAAATTAATGAAGTAGATGTGCAATTTGACTAATTTTTTGAGAGGTAAATTGCATACCCAGCTTTGCCCTTCTTGTAAGCCCACCAGATCCGGTGAAAGTCTACAAGTAAAAGTGAACTCTCAGTACATAATGGACTTTCTTTTTCAAGCTCTTGCAATGTACTTTAAATGCATTACCTTGAAACGTGAATAAAATCACTACCTATATCTCCAGAATGTAACTTTATTAGCTCAACATTTAGCTATTACAGCTTCGTCAGGAGCTATTGATATCCTACAAGTTTACTAATTAACTGGATACGTGAACTTGTATGATATCGATAGCTCCTGACAAAACTGTAATAGCGAAATATTGAGCTAATAAAGTTACATTCTGGAGATATAGGTCGTGATTTTATTTACGTTTATAGAAATGTCTCATAATAAATTCCAGTTTGCGTTAAAAAAATTACGAATAATTATTACCTTAAAAGTTTTAGAGGTTATTGTAAGGAGACTGAACGTCTCCGTCTTTTTTCTCTTGAAAACACGCACAAATTTGCAAAGAATGAGCAAAATCTCTGTGAGGATTTTCAGTAGCGTTCATTCTCCAAGAAAACTGTTGTAAGACAAAGCAAGTTAGGAGGTGTAGAAGTCGAGAAATTTGGCAGAGATGGCAAAGCAGTTGTGTCACTTCTTGTTCAAAACAGCCCACTTCACAGTAGAGATGTGGTTAAGATTTCTACTGCCTGAATTTAGTACCTTTAATGCATTAAATATATTAATAAACTTCAATTTTGCTTTTATAAAAAAAACTATATTCTGCATCAAGAAATATGAAATACCTTAAAACTTGAATTATGAAATACAAATTCAGGCTTAAGCGCTTATTCTAACCCTAGTATAAACCAGAAGTTAAATGGTGTTAATCAGAAAAGAGCGTGAAATTAAATAGTAGCAATATCTTTATTCTCTGCATTGTAGCTGGATAATATACTATCGTATATTTTGGTTATTATGGGAAACAAGCCATAATGCTGAAAATTGTATTTACAATCTTTGAGGTGTAGAATTTTGTTGTGGTGTGAGTTTTGTTTCAACTCAACTATTTACAATAGCTAGTGCAGTAACGATATAGGGATTATTCTATAAAATATTTGTATATATACATGGGAAAGTTTAATATAAAGTTGGTTTGCTTTTGGACTATTAAGTTAGCATGCCAAGTCTGGTCAGGATCGGGCAATATGTTTAGGATGAGATGCGTCCACAGACAGACAGAAAGTTTTCCTTGATATTGGATTGTTACCGTACCGGTATGAGATGGTTAATAACACGAAAACTAAACTTATACCATCATAACTGACAAATATTAGTTCTCATAGTGAATCACCCCGCCCCCTGTAGCTCGGCGGTAAGTCTGCAGGCTTACGACACAAAAATTCGGGTTTCGATATTTAAGGTGGGCAGAACACAGACAGCCCACTGTGTAGCTTTGCGCTTAACCACCAACCACAGTGAAATGCAGTTTACAATATTGTCTCTAGCCATTAGAACTGTGAAACAAAGAAAATGATACACACACACATATATACATAAATAGATTTATCCTTGTTTACAATATTTCCAAAGCAAACAAAACATAAAAGCGTTGTAACATATAAACAATAAACAAGTTATCTGCATTGTGTACTATCATATTTTATAATGGCAGAGTATATATAGGGGACAATTAAAGGTACACATTATTTCATATAGCTTTAGCACTCGTGTTTTATGTCCACTCTTCAATTCTGTAGAATAGTTTATATTTAGACTGATTATACACACACACACACACACATATGTATAAAGCTGTTGTACTTAAACAATGTAGTTTTACAATAGCACCAGATTATCATAGCTACTTGGATAGCCAGGTAACCTCAATTGCTATTTTGAAGTAGAAATAGGATAAACACAGGTGCCTGAGATAAACCAACACAAAACGTACAGTCACGCAAGCCTCCAATAATTATTACCATTAGTCTAAACAAAAAAGCATCGTTACTAGTAAGGTTCCAAACTGATAATTGTACGCATTATAGGATGCAGTTCTCTGTCTGATCACTATCACGTTGTCTGTTGCTCAGCGATTCAACGAAGTTTCGGTTATTTAAATAAGCATAGAAATCGAATTTAGTTTTTACTGATATCAATAAAAAAAAAAAGTCCAAAAAACATTTGTAAGTATTTCTTAGGGGTCTCAAAGTGTTACAAATGTAGCTGTATTAAGTGAATATAGAAAGATACCCTTAGCTATTAAGTATTCATTAAGATGTATAAAGTATTGGCTTCAGCTTATAAATATGGAAGGTAACAAGGTTCCCGAAAGCATGTTACGATATGGTTGAAAAAACGAAGAGTAACATGAACAAGCAAAATAATGGATTGCCTTTTCATATATAGAATTGGTTATGTATGGAATGTACAACAAATTGGAAATTGAATATTTTTCTACAAGAATTTAACCATAGGTTTGAAGATATTTATATACAAAACTGGTATTCAGATTTATATGGTTATAATAAATCGCATAACTATGTTACTCTTAAATCAGTTTTAAAACCAGAAAGGTATTTGTTCATACAACTTGGAAAGTTTAAAGGGTTAGCTTCGGCAAAATTAAGTACAGGGATCCCTCGATTAATGCGCATTCGATTAATGCGTTTTCGTTTAGTGCGCTTAAATTTTTTATAACCAATATTCGATTAGTGCGTGCATAATACTCGATTAGTGCGGAAACACACATTTCATTTTAACCATAGTAATTGAAAAGTAAGTTTTAGGCACCGAAATTAAATTTTTTTTAAAAGATTAAAAATAGAAAATGGGTAACTATTTTACTTGTCAAGTTATTACTTGAGTGTCCACCCCGGGGTATTTTAGGGTATTTTAGCGATTTTTTCAAGTATTT